GCCAGAGTGCTGGATATACAAGGGGCTTTCCAAGCAGAATTGCTTTCGGAACTCCAGCGATGCACATGGGGAGGATTCATATGGTGCGCTGTCTCCAGCCTGCGCCAAAGCCTCTTTCAGCTTCTCCGGCCCGCCGTGGGGTACCAGCGGGACTACCTGCTCCAAGGGAGGGGGAGAGAGCGGTGCCCCCAAAGTGAGGAGTGAAGGGTGCTTCACCTCGTATCCTTTTAGTACTCCGAGCAAATATGGCTGGGTCGGCGGCCATGATGATCAAGGGCTACATGTCTATGTGCATCGCCTCGGCACCAGCATCGTAGAGACTTTCCACGTAGGTGTTCCAAATCCAGCCTCTGCTTGTCAGGAAGGCAGCTTGTCTGTCTGAGTATCGTGATTTCAGCGCAAAATCATAACCATGAATGCTTGCTAAGGACCCCCCACAAAACAACATCCTTCCTATCTGTCGAAGTTGTAGTCTGAGCCACATTCTATTGAGCTTTCTCTGAAGACGCAGGGTGTCTTGTCCCACATGTTTGCGCATCTCCCATCATTCAGCTGGGCTTCGACAGCTGAAACCCTGAGATCGCTCTTGCCAGCCGAGCAGCTCAGACCGTTGAAGGCGGTGGCCCCTGGCAGTTTGAGTGGCGAGGCGACGATCCCCACCACAGGGCGCCTGGATGTCATGTCTGCAATCCACGGCTTCGGGGATTCACCAACTGCAGGCTTTCTCTGGCCTTCCTTTTCCCTGTAGCCGGTATGCCAAACCCCGCAGGCTGAAACCCAACACCTGAAGCCTTCGCAAAGTCACAGCAGGACGCCTTGCTACCACGTCGGCAATGCACACGGCTAGCCTGAGCTGGGGCTCAGCAAGCAGCGACTCTTGAGTCTTGAATGCTATGTAGATCGAGGACAATTCCCGGACAGTCTTGTCGCAGTTTCAGAGACCATAGATCCCCAAAGTTGGGCATGCGGCATTTCTTCCTTTTCTAAGCTTGAGGCTTGCCTGTGCCGGCCCTAATCCTGCCCTGCGTTGAAGCCCTGCTCCTAGTCAAATCTCCCTGTTGGACGGTTTGCCGTTCCAGCTGCGGGCAATGAGGAGCACTGGACTTTTGGGGATATGACACTGCACATGTCCTTGGTATCGACCCGAGCGACTAGTCTGTGGGTTTTAGTTCCATCGGGAATGACTGCGCAAATTTGGTGTTCTGAGCCTCGTTGAATCTTTCTCACTTCGTTGAACTCTCGGTGGTCTTATTCCCTTGTCTTGTTCAGAATCACTGTGAATCCAGGAATTGTTGTCCCTCGCCATGTTTCGCGTTTCATCAGGACTCAGCAGGCGCCATAAAGCTTTCTGATCCACACGACCCGCTGGGAAAGCTTGGGAGCGAGGTTAGAAGCCGTGCCCAACGCCCTGCCATGGCTTTGGAGGGAGCGTACCGTTGTGGGAGACGTGGCACGGACCTGAAAAGAATTTGCGACATGCTCCTGGTTCATCCTACGCTTGTGAGACAGAGACAGCAGTTCTTGCTGGTAAACTGTTGAAGTCTTTAAACTGTAAACTCAACTGCTGTCCAAAAGCAGGCTCCTAGACTTGAGGCGAGCACACACAGAAAGTCGCAAGTGTAACAAGGCAGCACATGTTCAAGGCATGCTGGCGCGATTGGCTACTTGTATTCAAAGACAGCAACTACTAGTAGGAAGCAATCTAAGTTGTGGTGGCAGTGGACCTCGTCGTAGTTGTCACGTGGTGGCGAGCTTACCATGCCAACGTTCCTCTTACCATAGCTATTTTAGTGTGACTCTGCTGTCTTCATGGACTCCCTTTCTTCTGCTATCAGTTGTACAAGAGATAGAACAGAAGCAGCAGCAGTTGCTGCGGCAGGAATGCTAGCAATATCAACAAGGACCATATGTATACCGGTAACAATGATGGGAGTAGTAAATGTACTCGGTATTCGTAGCACCAATAGTATCCACGATGCTGTTTCGTGCTGCCGCTGTTGCTCCTACTCATCCAACCCCTACTACACCACGAGTACGACGACGACTACCCCTGCTACTACCACTACTGCGACCACAGCGACTACTACTGCGCCTAGTCCCGCTACAAATACCACCGGCACTACCACGACCACCACCACTGCCACCACATCTCTGCTCAACCAAGGCTGCTTTTTGCTCTGGAAGCTGGCGCCTTCTGCGTGCCACAAAAGCATGCCAGGCAGCTGGCTAAAACTGACCAACGCTTCACACAAGACTGGGGAGGCACGTCGAGGATGGATTCTGAGGTCTGATTGCTAGCACTGCCACCATGCTCAAACATGGGTTTCTCAACACGTTAGCCCGCATCATGTGAGTTCGACCTTGTAAAGCTGTCTGCCGAAACTAAAGAACACTCTCTGACAGCCTGCTACGGCGACTGGTGAAGCAAGCTTGCAACCCCACATCTGATGTTGCTGGAACCGACATAGACAGTGCCGGCGCCCATCTTATGGAAGTACCCATGGCTGCGACACTCAATGGCTGACCCCGTGTGAATCCCGGCAGATCCGGGGAATTCAGGGAGAGCCCGTTCTCGAGTTGTGCTCGAGATGCGGCCAATAGAACCCGTGCAGATGGATCTGGGGCGAGCGAGCATTTCCAGACAGGATTCGGGATTCCGGCCCCCTGGCCCCTGATCCAACTGTATCAGTTCTCAGAACAGCGCCAAAGAGATCATCCTAGCTGTACGGAGCGCAAAGCACGAGTAGTGCCGGAGGCACAGACTATACACTTCGGCATGCATGTCGTTGGTGCTTTCAAGCGTTACCGGGCCCACCCATCATGGAGACCAGAACGGGAACGATACTGGCAGCAGCATTGAACATATAACCAATACAAGTATGGCTGCAGCCTGCGGGTCGGGTACGGCTAGAAGTTAGAAGAATCCGCCTTACTGAATTTTGAGCTCAGCACATGTTGTCATGATGACATACAAGCTATGGTAGTTGCGGGAACAGATGCCGTCGCCAGATTTCCAAAGAAGCCTCAGCCCTCGACAGGCTATCAATGGAGCTTGGAACGTGCAACTATTCATGCCAACAGTCTCGGTGTCGTCATTATCGGCGGCACCGGCATGAGCATATCCGTGATCGAGATCATGACTGTTTTTGCATTACAGTATTACCACTGACGTCATCACCATCATCGTCACCATCATCGTCATCGCAGTTACTGTTACCATCATTATCTTGTTCGTCATAGCAGAGCATCGTTACCGCTACCGCATCCTTACCCATCGTGGTTTTCAACACATTCGCTACTGATCTTAATGCCCTCTCTTTTTCTAAACCTCGCCTTTTCAGCACCGACGCGGGGCATGCCTTTAAACAGCATGCCTCGTCTTCTGTGGCGTTCTTTCGTTGCAGGAGCAGGAAAGGACTGTGCTAGTTTCAAAGCCTCTGGGTGAAGACACGCAGATGCACACGTGCATATAAATGCGCACCCCCGAAATCTTGAAGTACATCTTCTGCTGTTGTAGCTGTTGTTGCTCCTAACGCCGGTCGACGGTCTTATTTATCGTCGTCCTCTCTGGTGGCGCTGCAGCCGTCCTTGTTGCTGCTGCTTCAGTTATTGTTGGGCTGTTCGCTTCCGGTCTCACCCGGCTTACTAGTCTCGTTGAGAAAGTTGCTCGACGTGTGCATCTCATAACTCCTCTCTCGGCTGATCACCTCTACCAAAGGCTAAAGCTGAATTTACTCAAAATTTCAGCATACACCAAAGACAAGGCAACCAGTGATGCGCTTTATGAGATCTTTTCCGACAGGCCAATGTATCGAGTTTGTCTAAGTTTCGGCATACTCTCCAGATACCTGTTTAAATAATACCCGGTGATGACAAAGGCCAGCCATAATTATGTCGAGAGGCGATTGCATTGTATGATATAAGACATCATGTCCACCCTGCTCCGGCTCATTTTGATTTTTAGCCTGCGCTGAGTTGCTTCGAAGTTCGCGCAGCTAATGCCTGGCAGTTGGGTCAGCGGGTTTATGTTGGTGCCTTTCTGTTACAAGCAAGGTTGGGGCTAATATTGTCAGTTTATTCCTCATGTAAATTACGTTGCGTGATCGTATAAGCACTTTGACTGCTCCTCTAAAGAATCTACGAAGCAGGATCCTCCGGACGAGGCTACGGATTCTGGAGATGGGCGAGCTTACGGAGTAGGGCCCCATCTTGGGCTGCGAAGGTTTGAACCGAAAGCATCCCCAAACCCTTAAACCTAGAACCCCCCAGACACTTTAATATCCCTTAATTAAGGAATTTTCCTTAAATTATAGTAGGATCCTTAACATGATTTAAGGCTAAGGTATATTCCTTAATTAAGGGATATTGGAGTCTCTGGGCCTAAGGACACAAAGCCACCAGGAGCCCAACGCGACAAGCGAGCCGGGCACTGCTTGCCCGTGGCATGGAACTTCGTGTCGCAGCGAGGTGGCTGCGGAGGCGGGTTCGGTGGCTGTGTGCAGGGACTTGGGGCTCAGGAAATTGGGCTCCTTGGGGATTTCAGGGGCCTTAATAATTAGAATAGGGTTTTGGGGTATTCTACTATAATTCTAATAAGGAGCCCCTTTCGGTACAGGTTTGGAGCTTGAGGGGTCCGACCGACTGCCTAACTTTTGGACTTCTTGGCAGTGGAGAAGATGTTCTTGCAGAAGGCTCGCTTTTAGCTTAGTCCTTGCAGTGCGATGTGTAAGAAGGTCACAGAATGTTATCTTTGCAGCCCTGCGGTTAAGGGGGATCACCATCAGAAGGGAAATCTGTGGATCCAGAACAATGTATAAGTGACCTCTCCAGTATGGAATCAACGGCATGTGGATCTAAGATCTCTTGCAGGCAATTTGTTGCGACAAGCTGTGCAAGCTTTTTGCAACAGGAGAGCAGCGCCGCTCTTTGGGTCTTGTGCCGGGATACCGCTCCAACAGGCTCTTTTTTCTGCAAAACTTCATGTTTTGCTTCTACAACTCTTACAATTCTTGGTGGCTTTCGTCGGTGTAGCCTCGGTGGGAAGGAGGAGAACTGCAGCAGACAGGTGATTAGCTAGACAATCGGTTGGGGGCGGGAGTGCATACCGCTCCCTTCGTCCTGACTTGGCACATACAGTTTGTGTGAAGTTGGTTTGCTCGAGACGGCTTCAGGTTAATTAGCATGAACCTTGGCTAGTTTACTGAGACAAGTCCGCCGAGCGTTCTACACATTGTTTGGACATGGTCATTCGCAGACATACCCTCCATGTCTTTATCGTTTTGTCTGCTGAGCTCTGATCCGCTTGTCGTGTCAGGCAGCTAAGGCTACCGTAGGTATGCACAGAAGTACACGGGGTCTCTCGGTACACTATAAGGGTATCTATACATGCGTCGGTACACGCAGATACATTCGTCCATCCCTCCATCCAATACATAATATGCATATCTGTACTTGTACCGGTTGTTGTGTGTCTACCGGAATGCATTTGCATATACATCTGCCAATATATGCGTACCTGTATATATGAATGTATTCACGTGGCGTCTCTATGATGTTGGCGGCTCTCTCGTTTGCGTGTCACACAACCCCACTTTCCAAGTCGGTGCCGTGAAGCCCTTAGTACTGCCAGCCAGGGAGTACTCGTTCCGCGCATCCCAGGACTCACCTGCAAGGGCTACTTGCACATGCAGAATCCAAGTGGGCCTGCTTCTAAAAAAGTTCCATATCAGAGTCTGTATCGCCGGTTGATCCGGACCTCATGCCTCGTGCACACAACGACAGAGTGTGTCTAGCATAGTACGGGCCAGTGCAGGATGCGGCTTCTTGCAGTCCGGCTGCCATCCCGGAGCTTGCGCTCAGGTCCCTCGAGTCCCTCCATGGCACAGCTCAGGTCCTGGCACACAACTTCAAGCACGGGGCCCCAAGATTTGGACAAAGACTGAAGTCCGCTTCAAACCCGCAGCGCAGCTGTACTGCACCACCGCTTCTCTGGTGTTGCCTGCTTCCCGCTTGCTGACAACCCTGTCCTTCGCCAGTTGTGCCAGCGACGTGCTGTTGAAGACCTGCCACGGCTCGAAGTGAAATTGAACAGTGTCACGGCACGTCTTTACCAGTTGAAACGATGACGCTTAAAATTTGACAACAAAACATGTTTCCTGCCAGGGAGAGAACGATGGGGGTCTTTCCCTCGACTGCTTCCACGATTTCAGCTTCTGCAGGGTGAGTTGCGGGAAGAAAAATATTCATACTAGTGAAGACGACAGCAGCGTTGACATCTCAGGATGCATGAAGACTTGGTTGCGAATCTGATTTCTGAATGCCGCTCCATCTATCAACAAGGGAACTAGGCATGAACCCCTAGATTGTCGGCAACGCTCTCCCAGACAGAGCAGAAGGAAGTAGGGAGGGCTACCCGAAAGCTGGGCTAAAAAGGCTCATGATCACCGGAAGAGAGGCCACATGTGGGAAGCATCAACGCAGGGAGCGGCAGAGTTCAGAGTGGATGTCTCAAGAGGGCCGTGGCCTTCTCAGCCCAGGTTCCTTCGAGCTCCTCGGACATGAAGCGCTTCCAGGCTGCCTCGCCAGGGCTTAGGCTTAGGGTGTTTTTTTTCCGGATTGGGTTTAGGGGGGTTCAGATATTTATTTTTCGGATTGGGTTTAGGGGGGTTCAGATATTTTTTTCGGATTGGGTTTAGGGTTCAGTGTCTAGGACCTAGATGTAGGTCAGATGAAGCGAATACTACACACCACTCGACTACTATCACCTTTTGCTTATGCTTCTGCTGCTATAGATGTGACTTCCAGCACCATGCCGCAGCTAGCCAAAGATGCATGTTCATCTCGCAGGGAGAGCTCAATCCTAAACCAAAGTTTCAGATGTAAACACCAGCACGGCACGGATGCCAAGCAGCACGCAAGATACCAAAAGCTGAGCGCCGGGAGACCATAAGAAAGAGAGACAGGGCTGGCGGGATGCTTGAGACACGGGACTTTCCTGAAGCCTTCGGAAGGAAGGCTGCAGCGGGGAAACATTGAGAAGGCACACTTGGAGAAAACCACGTCCGACGAACACATACAAAACACGGCGACAACGCCTCTGTGATCCGAATGGCTGGCAAGCCTAAGCAATAAGCACACATCGAAGTACAAAGCAGGATAATGCAACCCAGATTGCATGAAGCCTACATATACAAATAGCAGAAGTAAGCCCAGCTTTAATGACTTCGCAGAAGGGAAGGATAGGTCACAATCTGTGCTTCCAAGCCGTGTAGTGTCTTCCGAACAACAGGCAGGGTAGCTTCGCTTGTCGCACGCAAACTTGCATGGCTGATCATGTCTGCCACTGAGCAGGCATAGACATTGAGCATCCATGCAATGTTGACGCTCATGTGTACATCATATTACAACATCACATGATCATGCACCTTTAACCGGGACTACAAACAAAGGACGATTGGTTCCCAAGGCGATGGAGAAAGCGGACCCTGACCTCAATACTAAAGTTCAAAGCAGCAGCCAAGATCAGTCGCGCCTTGATCTGTTTCTTGGGATATTTGTCTCGAGATCTCCAGTACTTGATGAACGATGTTTCGTCTCAGCAGACAGGACACTTGCAAGTGCAGCTTGTGTATGCCCCGTGCCACTTCACAACTGAAGGTCCATGCCATGTGGCTCATGAACACAGAGCATCATCCGTCTGCCATAACGAGCTGTGTCTAATTGCTGAGAGCAAGTCCTTGACACCCCAGCAACCATGGCCCACGACAAGCCCACCGCTCACGGTCTTTTTTTCGGTTGGGCCCTTTGGTCGCTGAGGCAGCCGCCGAGTTCCTTCTTTGCAAGCTGCTGGAGGAGTCTCTTCCTTGAAACGGACATTAGGGTCTGAAGCCCTGGAGTCGCGCACACTGTTACAACAGTCACCCAGGAGGCTGACTACAAACAACTCTTGTTCGTTTTCTTAAGCATCTGCCCTGCATCGGTCTGTGGTTGAAATGTTGGGCACGCAATCCAGTGTCCTGTGCTTTCCGGTCCTGCACTACTGCATGAACTTCAGCACGTTTTGAGACACATTGGCCCATGATGCCACGACGGCAGGCAGTTCGACGTTGCAAAGTGACTCGATGAAACGAATGCAGTCATCTGGCATGCCATGTAAAAGCTGTTTGTGGAACCACCCCTTCCGAAGCCGTGGATTGTGCCGAGCAGGGCCTCGATAAGAGGAGGTCAGCATGCAAAAGCTGGCATGACTGCAACCAAAATCACATGGCCATTCTCTGGCTGCTATTCAGACGAGTGGCCAATTCGGATAACCCATCCTTGGAGCACGACAAAGCACGTCTTGGATGCACTTCGCGGGTGGGATGTGCTGAGTTTCCCATGTCATGGCTCGCTTCATGGGCCTGGTACCTACAGTCTTGAAGAACAGAAAAGAGCCAGCTGCACGAGACTGATCTCAATACATACGCACGCAGCTTGGACCTGGTCGGAAGAACCAGCTGCGGCGCAAAAGGACACTCAGAAGTAGCTTCTGAACTGCAGCCGAAGCTCTTAATATGATTCATGCACCGCGGCACGGCTTTGCTACCAGGGAACTCTCCCCACATCACATCGTACTCACCTTGAGAGTTCCAATGCCAACAACTCGAAGGTATGCCTGCTGGCATCATGCCCCTGAGACGCCGTCATGCCAAGCCACTCAACGAGACGTAGTCTGGAACATCAGAGCAGTGTGCAGGATCGAAGGCCTCTTCGGTTTGGAACCTTAGTATACCGGTCCGGAATGCCCATCAAGACCAAGAAGCTGGCGGAAAAAAACGCGCAAAGCCCACCTAGAGCACCGACACCCCTTGCAGACTTCGAAGCCATCTTCACCCTTTGGATTCGCTCCGATTGAGTCTTGAGAGGAATGTCAGCATCCTTCAGGGCTAAAGCCGTCTCGGAAGCCTCAAAGACTCAAAAGCACAGGGGAATGCACAGGAAAGGGCATTGGCAATCGGAGCTCTCAGCTCCGCCCTGCGACCCGAGCTCCCAAGCCTCCAGAAGCCCAGAACTAACAGCATCCCATCTGAGCAGCATCGTCATCAGGGCGATGTTCCGGTAGTCGTCGGCCTCATTGCTCCTCAGTGGCTTTATCGCTTTTCCATCGTATCCCGCTGACTGGGTTTCGGTCATGCAGGCGGAGTCAGTGAACGAAGAGCGAGTCACACCGTATCGAGATCCGCAAACAACTGGCAGCGGCTAGAACAGGTCGTGGTGGCAAACAAGAAGCGTTAAAGACTAGCGATTCAACAAGGCTCTGAGCTGTGCCTTCTTCCTGGCTGCTTCAAAACATTGGTTCGGCTGTCGTTCCGAACTTGTATCAGCATCTTGCCACCTGTTGGAAATCACCATCACGTAGAGACTCGTGTGCATATTGAAGCCTGAGTCCTTTTCTGGATGCGTTATTCCTTGACTTTGCCCTTGTATACCTCTAGGCTGGTCGCCAAGGGTTATTTTCCACCAACCGGTGCCTGGGGTCGCTGAAGTCAGGACCTTAGTGCCGTCTGGGGTACAGAAGGCAACCAGGGCCAGGAGTGGCCCCCTCTCTTTGTGACTGGACATACTGCTTTCTCTTTGTGGGGAAGATCTCAAACTCACAGCCGCAACTCTGTACTTGCAGGCAGAGCGACCAGGAACGCACGTAGTGCAGCAAGTGCGCTGGGGTGTAGAGACAATCGCCCTTCTCCTCATCTTTGGAATGTTGGCTTTCAGGTTTGGGTCTGCTTTGGGAGGAAACGGCCAAATGCCTCATGGATCCACCGAACAAGTACGTCTGAGCCCACGATGCTCAAAGTGTAAACGGGACATCCGATGTGAATTCGGAGACTGCACCTTCGAAGATGGAGAGGACTGAGGCTCACGCAATGGTGGTGTTGCTCCACTTCGCTTTGGCAAACTCGGGCCAGCGGGTCAAGTCGACACCTCAGTGTCGGCTTGGGGAGGGGTGTTGCTCTTCTTTGAAGAAAGTTCTCGCGAAGATGATGCCGACCATCGCCGTCATCCTCCGTCATCACTTCCACGCTCGGATCACTGACATGAGATTGAGGCCAAGATCTCTCCCGTTTCCAGCAGCAGGAGGCGGAGGTCTGGGAGAAGGAGCAGTAGAAGCAACGGCAGCGAGCAGGAGTAGTAGAAGGAGTCGTCGCTGTCGCAGGAGAACTAGCCCGAAGAGCCGGCATCGCACATTTGAGCCTAGCATGCGCTTCACGTTCAGCAGACCTACCATTTCTCATGTCTACACCTGCAAACCGATCGTACCACCTTCATGCCGTATGAAGACTGCGAATCTAGTCGGATTGCTTGAGACCCAATGAACTGCAAGAGACCTTGAGAAGCAAGGCAAAATGTCAAGCACCATGTCCACAGAGTTTCTTGATCGGTTAGAAGCCGAGTGTTTCAATCGGAGCCGAAGAGAGCAAGCGGAGTTCAATGCCACAATTGAAATGAGTAACCCTGTGAAGCGAAACTCAGTAATGGCTGGCAGGTAAATTCCGCAGACAGGTGGCGCTCGCCATCGATGGGGGAGTCATCCGAGCCTAGGTAGAACAATCCCAAGATCTCTGCGAATTCTGCAGTCTTTCACCAATCCCTCTGCAGCAATCAGTCTCTTGAGACCTAGCGCCACGAAGCACACGAGCCTGCATAGGCTTGCAAGATCTTTGCCTAAATGTGTGTGAGAGCTGAGCGAGGCGCCGCGAGGTTTTCCTTCGGAAGGTCGCCGGTAGTAGTCGTTCCACCTCGCTGCTGCAAGAGTTTCGGTGCTGAAGGGTTGCTGCCTGTGCTGACAACTTACAGCTAAGGCCAGGCTTTTCCAAGACAGGTCATCATAGCTTTCTGGCCGAGCCACATTGGAATCTTCGATGCTTCGGTCTGCAGGTCCCACATGATCCACTCTTTCTTTCCGGCAAAGACACCTTGCAGGGAGAAATGAACCGGACTCCTCATTCTCTGGGCTCCGCGCCCATTCAAGCTGCTGACAAGCCACACATAATCTGGTGGTTCATGTCCTCAGCTTGAGCTAGCGGTGTGGTGTGAAATTGTGCTGCTCCACATGACAGGATATCGGCTTCCAGCTCTCGCATGTATCTTCTTCTTTCGAAGCTTGGTCGTGAGGACGCTGTTCAGCGAAAGCTGTTGAGCAGTTCCGGACTCGTCGAGCTTTCAATTGGCGAATGGCTTGCAATAAAGGTGCGAAGTGACAAGCACCAACATACCGCTGCACCATGGTGAACGTGGCTGTATACTGTATACTTCAACCGATTCTTGACCCACTGCAAAGCTACACATGGTCCATGTCAGCTCTGTGTCGTAGTGAATGGTAGATGTTCCCATCATCTCGGGCGGCACCCGCAAATACCAGAAGTTGTTCTCATACCTCGGGGGAGGCTGCCGGGTCCTTCCGGCTTTTCAGGGCGGGGTGCGGTTCTACAAGCAAGGGTTCGGGGGCATGTCTTCCGGTAGCACCCCTCGGAGTATTCCACTCTTTTCATGCTTCTAATTCTGACTCCGTGAAAGGGCTTAGGCCGGGGCAGTTGCGTCATCCACGGCCTTGGTAGGCTGTTGGTGTGGGGAAATAATTCAACGGCGCCGTGATCAGCAAACACTCAAGTCTCGCAATACGTCGCTCCCGGAAACCGTTGAAGCACCTCGAAAGTTAAAGTGCGGATCCTCCCACGATAGCAAACGTAGCAGCCTTGCAGCTGAATGACTTCGAAAACTCGGCCACACTAACATATCTGCCAGGATGCTTGTCCTTGACATGTCCACCTGGCGGTGTCACGGTTTCGCTCAGTTTCTTGCAAGCATGGGTAGGAAAGCCCATAGAGCCTTGCCTTTCTGTTCGGGCTTTGGGATTCCCAGGCTGGCGACTCTCTTCCCCAGCAAGCTTCCAGCTCACCGCAAAGCACGTTGAACATGAAGGGAAGCCCGGACTGGAGGGGGGTGGGGGTGACTTGGTGATTGAAACACAACTGAGCTCGGCCTGGGGGCCGCTTGCCGCAGTTCATGAAGCTCGGGACTTTCCACTCCTCCAAGGCTCGACTGAAAACTCCGAGAATCAGGAGTGAACGTCTAGACCTATTCGAGCCTGTCCGACCTCGCAACTTCGTCTGGTATGGGCACATCCTGACTTTGCCGAGGAGCCTTGCCCATGTCATCCGGCATCTGTGAGATGATATACCTGTAGCATATGGAGTAGTGCTTATAATACTACCCCTTCGACAGTACTTGTCGTTTCCTCAAGCAACGAAGTCAATCGTTCGGATTCGGTGGTAGTACTACACAGCAGGAGGAGAAGCGCCGAGCCGAAAGGCTTGCTGATTACCCTCGCGCGACATGTCTCTTCGGACTGACAGTTTTGGGTGCTTGGGGACACTTTGCACCCTCGTTGAGGACATGATCCCACGCCGGCACGACAGTGGCCTCATCTGATCTTGAGTCCCAGTAGCTTGGCCCAGCTCGGGTCTTCGCGACTCTTGCGAATGAAGTTTCGGATGCTGGTGCGCGACTCGACGTAAGGGATGGTGTCCTCAATGCTTCAGTTTTCAAACTTACTGCTATCTGGCGCATGATCGCCAAAACGGGGTTGCGATTGGTTTCCAGAAAGACTCTGCCCCCCACAACCCCAACATCCTGAAAATGAACTGCAAGCTCTGTCAAACCTTAGGCTGAAAGCTGTCACCCAGTGATTAGCACAACGTAAATTCACATAATGGCCAAATTAATGCAGCCACGAAGTCTTTAGGGCAGTGAATTGTCTCGCCCTTGATGTCTTGGCCGCAGTAGTCCGTGAGGCGGTCTTCGTTCCGCCACTCCACCTGTTCACACAGGGTCATAAGGGCAGGAGGCGCCGCAAGGTAAACACAAAACCAAGCAAATGCAGGCATGTCACCAGGACTGAAGCACAAGTTGGAAACATCATCATGCCCCTAGGAAAATGGGTCCCAACACGCGAGATTTGCTCATGCAAGCGCAACCACTCGCCAGTCTCAACTTCATGCCGTCCATCTCATGTGCCCTGCCCTCAAACTGTACATCTCGGTGCCAAATACAGCAGCATCCACAAGCCCCAACCCAACTCGCACAACCAGAAGCGCCTTGGCAACCTCGCTGCCAAAGTGGTCCATGATGTACCTTTGCTTGCAGCTATGGAACCAGAGCTATTCAGGTAAAGTTTAGAGTCTTTAGACAGTTCGGAGGCTTTGAACCTTCGACCGTCCCTGAGCCCGGATCACTTGCCTCTACCTAGCGGCTGATCTGTCCAGTTCATGGCTGGAGAAAGGCGGCCGGCTCCTTTCACGATGAAGGGCCTTGGCTGGTGATGCCATGCGACTGAAGCTGACGATGCCTGGCATGCCGTGGACTGTATGAGAAATGCCCGGCGTGGCTAGTGGCCTGCGTCCTTCCTCGGACCTCGGGAACCCTCAACCCAAACCCGATGTCCTCCCTGGCCTTCGCTGTTTGTGATACTTCTTCCAGAAAGTCTTCTGATCTGGCGGCTCCGTGAAAACATCAACCTCGCGTTGCTTCCGAGGCAAGATGTACATGCTGGAGACATACAGCCGAGGTTGATTACAAACAGTGGAGATGCGGGAATGAACAGTCTGAGTCTGCAAATGTCGAATCTGATTGCCTGAATCGCCCCAAAGCCTAAACCCTAAACCGCTTTGAGGGCCTCCCCATTCCAGGAGTCCAGAAAGTCGGGGTGGCCCAAGGGTTTGAAGTTGCCCTTCGGGGAGCCTCCCGGAGCGAGTGTTCCATAACACAGAGACAGGGATCATTGGAGCTTAGCTAATGCTAGCCCGCTGCCGTTGCTGTTGCTGGTGTTGTTGTCTGCAATGACTGAGGTGGTGGTCTTGGCAGTGTCGCAACCTCTGGTTTAGGTATAGCTGTTGCTCTATTCTGTTCTGCTTGGGCATTGTCTCGCACGGATCTCCAGGACTATGCCACTTGTGCAGCTCTCTTGGGAACCCTCGGAGTAAGTATGCGCTGGGTCCGGAGGCCTTCCGGGCTCTCGTGGATGCGCAGGTCCCTGAACTCGTATCGCTTGTCGCAAAGGCCCCGGGCAGCACAGTTCTGCCAGAACCTGGGCTGCAACGAGCTTGACCGGCACCTCTCTGGACCCTGAGAGGCTTCCTGAGTTTTTTGAATGGCCGGAGAGATGTTGCTCTGTATACCATGAAACCTCGTCCAAATTCATCGTGGCACTAGCACCTCTGCTGCAAGTGTTGATACAAGCGACACTCTGGGCATGCAATGATTGAATTGCGATATTTACCTGGTGACTGCCTGCGATACAAGGCATGGAGTATGTACGATTATAAGGGATAATAAGTTTATAAGGGAAGATTGCTTGATGGCTGTTGCCCAAAGTATGACAAGCAGGCTCATCTCTCGGAAGAGCCAAGCAATGTGCGATGACTTTCGGCTCTGGGCTGTGGGGGGGGGGGGGGGGGGGNNGGGTTTAGGGTTTAGGGTTCTCATTGCGCCAGGCTTGAAGTATCTTCCAAATGTCTGCTTGACCAGTGCTGCCAAGAGTGAAAGATGGGAGCCTTGCTTTTGAGATGCCGTAAGATTCGATGCGTAAGGGCTGCGGCTGGAGTTCCAGACCTTGAAACCTTCGATTCGAGGTTTACGTGCTGGTCTGTCCTTTCGCCCGCAGTCGACGAGCAGCTTTCACATCCGCTATTGTGGTACCTAGAAGCTGAGTTGTCATTGCTTGGGCATCTGCGTTTCATTGCCTTCTCACGATGCGCAAGCCCTGGACTGCCTTGCTTCGACTTTTGCTATGGTCTGAGGGACGGGGCCTGCAAGCTTTGGAGGCGACAAGCCTCCACGGAGTCAACATGACAACTCACGCATGATGCGATTCAAATTCAGCAGCGTGGCTTGACTTTGGATGCCCCATCGGCTCGCAGCAAAAGCAGTGCCAGCAGCAAGCAGCCAGATGCAGTCGACCGTAACATCGTCATTTCATGCCGCACGGCTTGAAGGGATCACTGGCTAATCAAGCGACCGTGCTATCTAGATTCAGGTGAGTTGTCTTAGGCTGTGCCTGGACTGCCAGAGGCTTCCATGGTGCGCAGAACTTCGGGTCAGTGGCAGTCTCGATCATGCGTGAAGACAAGGACATGGAAAGGTCACCGCAGCAAAGTCCTGATCCCTGTAAGACTTTGTCAGCATGAAAAGCTGCAGAGCCACAATGGATACTGAGAAGTGAACGAAGCTAATAAGTCGCTTCCGCATCTGCGAGCTTTCTACCTACCACGCTGGCTACCTGCAGGTGCCCCAATCGAACTCTTCCTGAGTTGGTGCCTTGCGCCTTCTCCTTGCAAAACCCTTAGGACGTCCACTCTGTGAAGTGGTGTCAGTGGCGCACCGCGCCCTTCCCACCATCCAGCTTTTGTGCCATGCCTCAACTTCAACGAGGCAGATAATTGAGACGCGTTGTACGAGCAAGATGGGTTGCCTCTTACGGCAGTGTGTCGCTGTAACTACTTCAGAGTTGAGCAATATGGCTCGCTTGCCTGTGCAGTGACATGTGCACTTTTGTACAGCAGCCAGCTTGAAGCAGGGACGATGGATTCTCGGCTTACACCCAAAGCAATAACTAAATCGCACCAAAGCCATGCCGTGTACATTCCGGCACTGTTGAGAATCGGACAGGTCTCCACATTCTTCCTCAGCGCTCCAACAGCATCCTTGTCATCGGACTCTGTGAACCACACCTGCAATGAATCGCAGCAGGGCGTTGATCATTGTTAACGAAGAACAACGAAACGAAATACACTGCCAGGGCCAGGTTTGGACAAGCACAAGCTACAAAACTGTACACTAATAATTAATCATTAGTAGCTAAACTGTGTGTTGATATATTATTTGTGCTATCTTAGATTATACTATAGTCTAGCCTTTTCTACCATATTAAACAACATTAGATGATACTGTTGATGGAAAAAATTCTGCATGACCCAAATATAGTATAGTACCATAAATCCCATAGTTTAGGTATATAAGGTCATGCAGGATTTTGTCCATCAACAGTAGTATACTACAGTCACTACAGTCTAGGATAGTATGAGTACTCGGGGCTTGCTAGCCGCTCCCCATTCCACCCAAAACTCCACCCCCTAATACTCAGCCCCTCAAACTTAAGCCCTACACACTGAACCCCTAAACCCCTCAACAAAAACCCTAAACCCTGACTAGCCTTGAACTCTAAACCCGAAACACTTTGGCCCTAAACCCTGCACCCTAATATAGGGGCCTTAATAATTAGGATAGGGTTCTGGGGCCCATTATACTATAATCATGATAAGGAACCCCCTAAAATAGTACGAGTATTGGTAAGAACCCAAAACCCTAAACCCGAAACCCTAAACCCTAAACCCTATTATTTAGGCTCCTTTTGTTAAACTTCCACCTCAATACGGAGCACACCGGCGGCCCGAGGTCCGGAGAGCTTGTCCACGAGCCGAACTCCTGCAAGGCAGGCGCGGCGCCGGCTGCTAGGGTTTAGGGTTTAGGGTTTAGGGTTTAGGGTTTAGGGTTTAAGATTTAGGGCTTAAGGTTTAGGGTTTAGGGTCTAGAGCTTGCCTACTATGGGTAGTTTTCTAAGTTAGGGTCCCTTTTTTGAGGTGCTTTTTATAAAGGTGCCGTAGTATATTGGGGACCTAAAAGGGGACCCTAATTTAGAGAACTACCCATATGATAATGAAAATCATGAAAATAACCTATCATAATGTAACATAGCAGTATGTAGTATGGTACCTTTTTTTATTCAGAGTAATGCCATGAAATAGAATTTCCTGAGGGTGCAGGCCTTACACTACTGAGACTATAAATGCTACTACGAACTTCTGTTCGTCGCACATTCGTCTACAGCTCGCGTGGAAGTCAGTTTCGTCCTGTGATCATATTTGGCGGCTCGATTGTTGCCCCAATGATGCCAAGCACCAAATTGTTCCAATACCTGGCCCATGCAAGTTAGCGGTGGAGCTCTGGCCATCAGACGTCCAATCCTTAGGTCCTTCCAGGGACACCCCTACACCTTTTGAAGCCAGCCCTCCAAAGCCTCTGAAACCCAGCCAGCGCGGGGGCACTCGTCGATCTGACCGGGACCAGCTCCAGGCTTCAGTTGGAACTGCGCGTTTCAGGGAACTTCCAACTCTCGTAAAGCAGGAATGGAACTCGAGCCAACCCAAAGGGTCCTAGGGGGCAAGCCTGAAAGTGGCCGCCTTTGGCATTCATTGGGTCTTCCCACTCAGGACCTCAGCATCGAGGCAGCGGGTGTCAGCTCATGCAGCTATCGTATCTGAGCGGACGAAGACTGTCTCTCACAAATGGATACCCACGGATAGCCTGTGAATTCAGGCCGGTGCGGATGTTGTCTCTGAAAATCATGAGCGCATCGATCACGTGCAGTCCGTCATGCTGCTCTCGCACCTGCCGCGATCAGGCTCAAGTCTGTTGTCATACTCTCGACCCTGTCCTTGTCTTAACTCTAGCTACGGTAAGTACTGGTTATGATGCCCAGCATCTAAAGACTTTGGAAAGTCCCGTTGGGGTGGAAGTTTAATCATTATTATGCTGTAAAACCATGGGTACTGTCTGATACTGGTCGAGCGATTGTTTAGGCGTAAGTTGGTCTTGGGCTGTCCTGGGTTTGGTCGTGGTTTTGGGCATGATCTTTCTCACGGTGTGGGAGTTCTTTGGAACTCTGTCAGTCCGGACACCAGTCCACCGAGAGCATCCATGCAGGATGAGACCACGGGGTCCTTCACCGCCGCATCAGATCATGTCCACAACCCTATGCAGACGCAATGGCGTTTCTGCTTCCAAAGTATCTTTCTTGCGTTTGCTCACGCTGGACCAACAGCATCGGTATGTAGAACGACTTCGAGGGGTCAGTCACCCTGTCGAAATGCCGGTGCATGCCGGCGCCAGTGATGGCTCGGAAGGGGGAAGGATGGGGGCCGCGAGTGTCACTGCTGCCAGAAAATCGATGAAGATGTTGGCAACTACATCGATGATAAACCTGATGGCAACAACGATGATGATCATGGTGATGATCGTACTGATAATACTGATGATGGTGTGTTGGCTCCGATGCGTTGTTTCTTTTTGTTTGTCGCCGTTTACCGTTTCTTGTTTTGGGCTGCCTCCATGTGGCGTTCTGCGGCATGTGCTTTCCCGTGTTGCATATCACCGCTGTTTCCTTCTACTTTGCGGCACTCACTAAGCAACGAAAAACTTGAAACATAAAGCACATACCGCAATGTGTGAACTAAACAACCGCTATGTGGATCTCAATCTCGCCCATTGCAGGCAAGTTGGAGCAGTTCTCGGCAATGAACAAGCACATGTTATGCGCACTGTCCAGCTATTACAGCGAACCAGTGTGCTTTGTGGTCGTGTCTGACGAGGTGCATTGAAGCAGCTCAGCTAGACATTGGGTTCATCCATCCCGGATCACCGGACTCCAGGCCTGCTTACACTTACAGCTTCAGTTTCCCGCAACCTCAATCAAGCAACCACCGTGACCCATTTCAGGTATGAGAGGTCGAACACTGCGTCTCCGCGGACTGGAACCAGCTACTAGACGCTTCGATTACAACTGCTCGGAGGCATTGGAAGTGCTGAGCACATCCGGCGAGTGGCTGTATGCATAACGCATCATAACGCCAGATCGAATGTGCAAACAGACTTCAAACACCTCTTGGCAGATCTTGATGGCGATCCTACACTGATGTTACGAGACTTCAGACATAGCGGAGATTCAAAGCCAAACGGAAGCTCCTGAACGGGCATGATGCAAAAGTGCCCGGCGTGCAATGTCTTCTGGAATTTGCTGTATTCGCCCCACCCCCTAACCGCAAAGTTATACACAGCAGCTTTAGACCATATCGAAAAAACAACGTACATGTCAAGCCCGAAGACTCGCGCGGGAGGCAATCCGCTTGGATTCGAGCAGCGTGCTGGGCTGCGGCACGTGGTTCCACAGCCTTCGAATGTGGGCCGGGGGGGGGGGTGACTTGGGCATGAGCAATATATAGGGATCAGAAATCCGGACAGAAAGATGGGCCTGAAGCCACTGTGATTGGAATCGAAAGATCTGGAATGGGCAAGGCTGCAGGCTTTGAACAAGCGCATGCAGACTTCTGGGACCATCCAGCACCTCACATATAAAGACCCCACACATATATCGGTGACTACTACAAACTGCGGCTCCCTTGACTGTGATTGCCGTCTACGAAAATCTCGAACCGCGTTAGGCAACCTGATCTTGAAACCTACATTGCCCACAGAGTGTCCCACGCACAGAGCTAGATCCAGTGCAGGAATGATTGAATCATATGAGAAGTCGGCTGACATGCCAGTAATTGTCTTGCTAAACTTTCCGCCAGGAATGTCAATGTTGAAAGTATCGCTGCCACCACTCTTGTTCGGGCGACGACAATAGCTAGCATTCTTGGAGCTTGCGGTTTCATCCGGGCATTGCGTCTGTCAGCTATCATCCGACCTCCAGAAATCCTGGACTGTCCCGAAGCTCGCCACCTCCCGCTGAGGTCGGGGTTGTGGTTTGGTCAAGCAAGAGCTTTCGAAGTTCAGTAGTCTCAGTAGTCGGGGCTTTAGATGAACTGTTTTCATCTTCGGCTTAACCACTTGGATAAGTAAGCTGCTTAAATGCGAGGTTTTCGGGGTTTCTGCAAGAGGCTGAAGATGGCTGAGGTCTTGCAGTTTGCATCGACTTTGACGGGGGCTCAGAACACAGTGTGCCCTCGGCGGCTCTGCATCGGGTAGAAGACTTTACGCCGATGTTGGCAGGTCTTTGACGACGCTCTGGGTGATTCCGATGTCAACAGACACTCCAACATCCAATACTTTGCAACTTCCAACCCAAATTAGTTGTGCAGACTTCCGTTGCCGCGCAAACAGTTCCGGCTTCGCGCCTTCTGCGTCCTCTGTGAATAGTTCGCATCAACCTTGCCATCCGAGGTTACTTGCTCCCACACACTCCACCTCGGCAGTCAGCACGGCTGCTTCCGTGACACGAGTTGCCAGCGCAGGGAGATCCGATCGTATAGGACATTGCCAGGAGCGGGCGCATGCAAGCATGCTGATAGCTTCCCAGCCCCTCAGAGTGTAAGCCCGCCGCGTGTACTGAAGAGGCAAGTCCTGCTGGGTAAATGCTGCTCAGAGACAGTAAGAAGCTACCGCTCAGAAATGCGAATACTCAAACGAAACAACCGCAACGTCCATTGGAGGCTCCCTCCTCAGGACTTTCGGCTGGCGGGTTGGTAATAGCAATGACAGCAATGCAGTAGCAAGGATTTGGCAATGCGTAGCTGCATCACTACAACCAATCAGGAGCACAATGCTAAAGCTGCTTGACAGGATGTCACGGAAGGCGGGGGGGGGGGGCCGGAAGGATGTGCAAGAAGGGAGTCTATGCTGAAGCTTCCCTGAATACAAATCTTGGTGGTGTGTCACCACCATCGATACAAGCTAACGGCCCTGCAGGCCATATACCAGGCTGCATTGTTTGCTGTAACAGTGTTGCCAAATTTTTGATGGGCCTGCGGAGCAAACTAGCAACAGGGGGTCTGGGTTGCGATCACGAGGTGAGAACTGAGACTGCCCGGGCGGCGGGCCCACCGAGTGGGCACCAGCTGATTCAACAAAGGCAAAACTGACCCACGCCCTCATCTGCGTACTTGCACGCTGTAGCGCTGGCGCGAGAGCTTGCAACTCCAGGGGTGCTTGCCGTTGTGTAGAATGTAGAAGTCTTGGAAGCTAGCGGGGCTGCCACTGATCACAGGAAGACCAAACACACAGTTTCAGTGCCATTTCCATGCGCTCCTTCTTGAGCATTTCCATCGTCTCTGACTCATCCTGGCACATTTGCAATGATCTTGACAACAAGTTCCAACTGCACTGCGCAGGTGGACTGTACAGGTCGCTGGGACGCAAAGCGCTTGATTTCAAGTCTACACTGCGTTGTGAGATTCTCCGTTCTCTGAACCGCTTAGTTTGCGTAGCACCTGCCACCAGCAAGAGAAGCCGAATTTCATAAAGGTGAATTTTCGAAGCCCATGGAAACCAGACCTTGACCCAAGCCCCGGCTCAACATGGATCCATAGCCTCCTGAACGAACTGAAGCTTGTCATTGATGCCCTCGTTGAAGCTCAAAAACCTCATCCGGGGAAACAAGGCAATGCAAATAAACCGGCCGTAGCCTTGAACAGGTTTAGATCCGAGCATGAGTCCATGGGCAAGCTGTCATCGTGTCTGGGTCGCAGAGATTCACCTCTGAGCTGCTGACATCTTCTCCATGAGTACCTGGCCGCGAGCACGGACAGAAAGAGGTGGCGCGGAACAGCACGCAGCAATGATGTGGCGATCTAATGTTGGCAAAAGCAGGTATTCAACATTGTCGACAACACAAATTTAAGCAAATTTTGCACAGGCTTGCTGTAAATATTGAGTCAGACACCGGAGACTTGGGAGTCTGCATCTCGTCCGGGAAACTGTTCGATTTGACCCGGCTTTCGCGAAGCTGTCGTGGTGACAAGCCGCCTAGGACTATGATGCGCAAGCTTGCATATCACTTACCGTGTCTGTGTGTGTGTGTGTGCGTGTGTGCACGATAACAGTTTCATATGTAGCCAACACATGCCACTGCACGCAGTTCTCGACTAGATGTAAGTCCTTAAACAGAACTCAGAATAATGCAACAGGCGTGTATATACAAATCAACAACCAAAGCAAACACATAAACATAAATTCGCCTCGGCCCCGGCCGAAGCGGTCAGAGGTTCCTATTCGGATTTCCTCTATTCCCCACCTCTTAATCCCCTCCCCAGTCGCCCCCACCCCTATATACGTGTGAACCCATAAATGATCCAATGGATTTGGGCTCTCTGTAGGGAGTCCCACCCACCCAACGCCCCCGCCCCGGCCCCCGGCCCCCGCCCCGGCCCCGGGCCCCCCCGGCCCCCACTCCCACCATGTTCCCTCCGCCTTGTTTTGTATGCAGTCTCCTGCCCTTCCCCGGTCCTCGTCCGCTCCGCCAACGGCGCCTTCAAGGCACCGGCAGTTCGTTGGCCCTCTTTGTTTGCGGCCGGGCCAAGGCGGACGACGCGAAGCGTTCAAAATTCATATGTACATGTTTCTCTACATGCTTGCTACATGTACACACTGCATCCGAAAAGTTCCGACGCTCTCGGTATGGTTGCCACACTCCACTGAAGCTAATATTATTCCTTACGGCTTTAGGGTTCCTTAATGCAATAAGACCATAACATACTAGAACCCAGTAACCCTTGCAGAACACCCTCAAACGGAACCCTGTCTAATTATTGGGGCCCCTATAGAAATCGTCTCTGGAACTCCTTGGCAACCGGCCTCGTCCCGAATCGCTCGGTCGAATCCCTCATACTCAGGTCTATGGCTTCGAGCCCGAATCGGATCATGTATGAATAGGGGTCAAGGCTGACGGTTCAAGGTTTAGGGGTTTACAGTACAGTTTCGGGAGGAATGGACGCGCAAGGGGGTGGGGGTAGAATGTTTAAGTTCGGGCTGCAGATCATGTATGAATACTGGTCTTCGTGGAGTGCCCGGGTCTATCGCATGCAATGCTGCAACTCCAATGCTAGCCTTATGCGTCTTGCAACCACAGCTTTTCTCCCGAGTCATAGACATGCCTGAGGAAAGATGCCAGCAGCTTGGGGCAATAATTCCGTGGATCACCAGTGGAGTCCTCAAGGAAAGGACTGCCGACGCTCTCGAAAAAACAGAATGCCATGATCTTTGATGCTTCACCTTGCTGATTCTTGTCCTGAAAGTCTTGCATCTAAGTGTCGTCTGAGATGAACGCACAATGGCCTCCAAACTCTGGAAAATACCTCAAGTACAAATCACGCTGGAGCTACACCCGGAGCTTGTTCCACAAAATGTGGCTGCGGTTGCATCGCAAAGGCTTGAGTGTCATCTGCCACGGCACAGCAGCACTGCTTCCGACACCTGCTCGGAAGTTGGCAAACTCCTGAGTCTGACACTCTGACTCGGAGCAGTTGAACTGGGTGTACAACAGCCGCGCAGGGTCTAGACGTGGAAATGCCGTGGCTGGAAGAGGCCGCCAAGCGTGCAAAGGCTTTCTTTGCTTGCGTGGCTGCTTTGAAATGCATTTCCTAATTTGCTACACTGCGACACACTCAACTTCTCCGCTGCTTTGGCGATGGTACGAGCTGTGGGGAGTAGAGGCTCTTCATGAGATGCATTGAGGTGTCGTGCAGGTATCTGGAGGAGTGGAGTATGCGGGAGATTCGAGAAGGATTGCTTGGGGGAACATTGTAATTATCAACTGCCAGTAGAACACCNNCCCCCCCCCCCCCCCCCCCCCGATCTAAAAAGCCGAAAGCTCGTTGGGTCGACCAGCGGATCGTCCTTTGCATTCATTGCCAGGAGAGGTACTTGTACATGCTTCCTGAGAGCAAAACACTCGAATTCGTAACAACGTTGCAAGCTTAAGCCAAATACCTTTGCAATTTCGGCAGTGCGTGATCTGTCTTCGCCACTGGCGAGAAGACCAGAAATTGTTCTGGGCGGGTCGACGTGGGCGGCTGCCCTGTGGGGCTTCTCACCAATTTAGGAACCTGCATGCAGGCGTCTTGAGACAAGGAACTCGACACTACAACTCAGTATAAACATACGGATCAGACTTGAGTAATCCTCGGATTTGGGGAATCTGACCTTCATGTGTGCTTTCGCACCACCGACCCCCCGAATTCTCTGCTAATGCAAGCCATGGTGCAGAAAGCGCATGGATCCCTGAGTCCGGTAATAGTCCAGCTTGTCTTTGAAGCCGTACCTTAAGCCAAGATCCGACATCAAGACAGAGCCAATGTACAGCTTCGACTCCGGAGCTTGACAGACGCCGCGGGAGTTCAGAAAAAAGACTGGCGAGACCCTCGGTGCTATCAACAGCAACGTAGTTCTCACCAGGCTCTGAGATCGACAACAAACTCTAAGTCCCTGCTGCCCTCTGCTTCCCGTCGCCCTCTTCTAACTCGTATTCACCAGCAGAATCACATGAACCATGCATAGCTACTACGTCGTACAGACAAAGGGGCCTCAATAACTAGAGTAGGGTGTTGGGGTATGTCGTGCAAGCTCTCCAGTTAATATAATCAGGAAATAATCTCGCAAATTTGTAAGGCTCCTATGTTGAAGCTTTGTTCCATGTTTCAGCCCTGCCACAGGGGGGCCACACACGCGTCGTCGAAGTCACCAATGGTCTCTGCCTGCAGCGTCTTCTCCAAGTCGTATGGCACCGGCTCTCCTGAATCAGGACTTAGGATGGGTCTTTGTGTTTAGGGAGTGTCTTTGGGTTTGGGTTGGTATTGGGTTTGGGGTTTTCATTTGGCACATATGTATAGGCTGTCTGAGATTCAGTAGAACGGAATTGTGTTGTGGATTGTCTGCTTCAGCTTGGCCAAGCGGAGGTACTTGGCCGCTTGCTTCTGATTGCGGCGAGTAGCAAACCCACAGCTGTGCATAATCACCTACTCGCAGTATCTGAACGAATCATAGCCCCGGAGCTAGAACTCCGAAACAAGCAATGTCTTTGAGCGCCTCTCGCTTTCAGGATCTCAGCTTTCGCTTGCGCTTTTGGCTTCAGCGACTTCCTCACATGTAGCGCATGCAGCATTTCCGCGTTTTTCAACAGGTCGGAGGGGTAGGCGGAAGAGCTCTTCGGGATTCGTGTTGAGCAGCTCTTTCGCGGGACTTGCAGAGGTTCAAAAAGTGATCAAAGCATTGAACAGTTCACGAATGTCAGTATGTCTACCTTTGTAATTCGGACATGCGGCTGTCACTGCTGTATTCTGCTTAGCACTGGCAAGCACAGCCCTGCTTATTGCTAGTAACCGCTGACTTTGTGGTGTGGTGCTTGTTAGAGAAGGCTGTAGCGTCGAAGAGTGGAATCCTCGATCATCGTGGGATTCTCATGGCAGTTTGAAGTACAGCGAGGCACAGTGTCTCGGACTTCGGACTTTCATGTATCTAAAGATCAAGCCGGCTCGGCCGACTTTCAAATCCACAAGGCACTTCAACAGGCTAATGTAGGGGCCTGCAGACGCCAGGGCGTTTGCCGCGAAGCACTTGTTGGGGGATAGAAACAGCGTTTAGGCATTTGGCCATGCAATCATGCAGCTATGAAGTTTGCCGTGCTGTGCCTTAGCCAGGTCGGCTTTACGACAGTGACAATGACGACTGCTGGTACTGCTTTCTTCGTGTTGCTGTTGTTGTTGTTGCTGTTGCTGCTGCTGCTGCTGCTGCTGCTGCTGCTGCTGCTGAGGCTACTATCATCAGATATCAATCAGGTCATCATTGAGTCATCATCAAAACTCATCAGAGCAGGAGAATCGCCATTGTCGCTATGATCATCGTCCTCTTGTTCCTCCTTCTCCTGATCCTCTTTGTGAATTTCCTGTGATCATTATCAGCATCAGCACCCTCAGCATCAAAGCCAGCAACAACCATCATCGCTATCATAGTCATCGTCGTCGTCACCAACACCTTCGATGCCATCGCCATCGATCATCATCATCATCAGCATCATCAGCATCATCATCGACATCATCATTGTCGTCATCGTCGTCGTCATCATCGTCATCATCACCATCATCAGCAGCCTCGTCGACATCGACGTCGCCGTCGTCGTGGTCACTGTCTCTTCGGCATTCTCGTCATCATCCGCATCAGCCGTAGGATTGGGACTCCGGGTTGGACTAGTGGAGGAGAGCTTTCTGGAGATGTCTGCACCCGAGAGGCAGGAAGTTCCATGCGTAGAGGCGTCCTTGGCAGCCGACCCCAACAGATCTCAACAGAAGTGTCCAGTGTTTCGAGAAGCTTGCGGTCGTGAAGCCGCAATCCCTGATGTGACGTCGGGTCCTTCAGAGAAATCCCTCAGCTCGAATCTGATCCCATCGCCTTCGTTATCGGCAGGTTTACCGTTTCCAAACATCACAGGTCGAATCTTCCTGCTTATGTGCTGCTTGCGTCGTTGTGCTCCGAACCTGCTGCAGCAAAGCTTCCCATGCCAGCATCCATGGCGGCAGAGCACACCTTCAAGGGTTAGACGACCTTCTGCTGAAATCATCGGTGGAAAGTGGGCCAAGCTATCCATACGACTCGTACAGGTCAGCCCTCGCCTCCTTGACAAATCCTCGTGAATCTTCTCAACACCGTGAAGCAATAGAGGAAGAAAAATCCCCTGGTGCCGAAACGTCATCCACCGGCTGCGCGGCCAGAGGCCAAGCAGAGCTATCTGCCTCTGGCATGAAAGGGACGCTGCAAACGGCCGCGCCCTTGATACCCAACGAAGCCACGTCCTGGCCGCGGTCTGTCTGTCAACCGTGGTGTGACTTCTGCCTTCAGAAAGATGATTCAGGACCTTATTCTGTCTGAGCATATACATTCCCCCACAATGCACGCAGTGGTCATCGCGTGTCCTCCCCAAGCTCGCCAAGCAACTTGCAGATGGCGTTGCCTTTCGGAAGCATTGCGTCTCTGGGTAATGCGACACAGAGCCAAGCCAGCTCCGAAGCAGGCTGCCTCCCAAAGAGAAGCCCGACAGGAAGATCTGCCGCGACGGGGAGGTATGCAGCTCCGTGCAGAGCTGCACTAGGTCGTCGGTAAAGCCTGTCTGGGCCGCCGAGGCCTAGGGGGCAGTAAGGCTGCTGACTTGCGACTGGTGCCTCAAGTATGCTCTGAAGCCTAACATGCAGCAACCCAAGCGCTGAGTCGTAGATGCCACGAGCACGAACACTGCACCGGTTGCGTACCCCGCCCGCCCCACATCCCTCAGTAAGCGCAGCCGAATGCCAAGACCTGAACGCGCCTCGAAGAGTTTACCTTTTTAAGATTGTCCGGCTATCCAAGCCACTCAACAACAAGGTCCTGCCTACATTGTAGAAGCCGGCTGTCCGATTCATCTCCTGAGTGCTCTGCATGACAATGGCTCGACGGCAGGAAACAACACCCAGTGATGCCGTGACCACACGATAGCAGCACTCAGCGCAATGGGCTTTCTTTTGCTCTTGGAGCCTCTGCAGAGAGCCGTTGGCAAGCCCTATCGGAGATCCGAGCAAGAGGTGATGGCTTCTGGGATGCCAAGTGGCTCCAGAGCAAGATCTGAAGCAAAGCCTCGTGATGGGATTCCCAAACATTTTTGGATCTTGGGGGGGGGGCTTTCAGGAGCTTCTGGATCGGCAAGTTAGGATGTCGAATCCGGCATGCAGATTACTATGTGAGGAAGACTCCAGGTGACACTCAATGCGACAGTCATTTGTCCGAGCTTATCCTTCGCCAGAGTGTAGTGGCCATGCCTTTGAGAGCTTCGGCTCACGAGAATTAGTTCAAGCCTGCGAGCATGTCACCTGCAGCAGCAGTCTCAGAACCTGAATCCAACTTCATGTCTGGATGCTTAGATCCTGAGCCGATTCGCATCAGGAGTTGCGCAGCTCCGGGTACTTTCAGGACTTGAGGGTTTTGAGACCAGGGCGCCTCTGAAGTCAATCGCAAGTAGAAACAGCGACCCTTGACAGAGAAGGCATGGCAACCCTGGAGAGCTTGGATGCCACGCGACACAGCCACGTCGAAGCCCTCGCTTTGGAAGGCGCGCGCCGAGCGGCAGCCTAGTTGTGCTTCGACTGGAGATTCATCTGTCGTGCGAGCATCTGTGTCCTTAAGAACCTTATAGCATCATCATTCCGATAACAGCGTTTGCAGAGACATGCAAACTCAGGTAGCAGGTAGCCGCTAGCCAAGGCGCAGAATGCTGTGCGGGAGTTGCTTTCCAGTCCGTGTAGCAAGATCACCTAATGCCAGTTCAAGACAGGCAAGGAAAAGGTCATCTTCCTGTCTCTGTCTTGCCAAGATTGAACTCGAAACTCCGAGACACCTCTCAAGCGTCTCAAGCCTTCACAACGAACTTTCAGAAGTACCGAATTGCCGAAAGGTCCAGCACAAACCTCAGGCCGAAGCCTGATGCAAAGAAAACTCCGGACCCTTAAGATCGATCCCCAAGTAACCACTGGTCGCTCCGACGTGATGGCACCCACGGCAGGACCGGCCGCAGCTGTGAAGTCGACGTCCTCGGGGAGTGCTGAACCGACGATGCCAGGCTTAGACCCGCGGCACATGACCCGAAAAGCCTCCATGAGGTTTGGAATACAATGATTTTTTAGTGCGACCAAGCAAGATACTTTGGGCTGCAGATCATATGACGCCAAGGTGTCAGTGTATTGAACCTAGCTGACATGCAGATGTGCCTCGCTGTGCTACAAACTGGCTAAGGGACGGGCGTTTGCCTGCACTATTTTGGGGATATGTGTGTTTTACTCGAGAAAACGCATAGTTTCGTAGGTTTCGGGTTGTGACAGGTTCGTATTGAAACTCGCAAGTTCCGTGTTGAAGGTTTTGGGATTAAGAGCCAGGTTGGGGAGCAGGAGGAAGCAGAGGTGAGGAGAGAGAAGTGCATTTCACTCGTAAATCTCGAGGTTTTTGGAGCTTTCACTTCAGGACTGCTTGTAGTGTGTTGTGTGTTTTTGCCTGCTATCCTACGCTTTGAGTGCCGGCCCGGATTTGTGTTTTTCGGGGTCTCCTGTGCTATCGCAGCACTTTGTTACTTTGTTCTGGTGCTATCGCAGCACACAACTACATCATCATCGCAGCACCTGTTTTTCTCTACTCCGGGTTGCCCGTGTGCTATCGCAACACTTTAAGCTTTGGCTTTGGCTTTGGCTGTGCTATCACAGCACTTGCAATGTTC